TCTCTCCCATCCCATGGGCTTCAAATTCTAGCTCGTGCTGAAATATAGGTATGTAACACATAGAGATACAACATACAGGTATGTAACACATACATAATGATACACAATACAGGTACATAAACAAGCGCATTTGGTATACAAAAAGCTTTTCAAAACATATATTAAAAACTATACTATTATATTTCTAAAGATTATATCGTGAAGAATTATACATGTAGTGATCTACAAACGTACAGAGAGACGTACAAAACAGTACAAGAACGTCAAACATTGTCCAAACATAGAGATGTTCATTCATACAAACATGCGTACAACTGAAGAACAAACACAAAGACAAAGCAACAAACACATATGCAGACTTACAGACACGCACATACGTACAGACAGACTTATAGAAAAGATGTGCAGACACATAGACAGAGGCAATGGCATACGTATGTAGAAACAGAGGTAAGGACCGATAGACGCATAGAGAGATGAACCGACAGAAGCACAGACAGACGCACAGATGGACAAATGCACAGACAAACATATAGACTGACAGACAGACGCACAGACATACAGACGCACAGACAGACAGACAGATAGATGCACACCACACAGACTTACAGACATTCGCACACAGATGCACATAAAGACAAATAGACGCACAGATAGACTCTCACACACACAGACAGACGGACATACCTGAAAGAGAGGGTAGACGTACTTCTCCTCACACACGTATCTCTTGACCAGGGCCCCGTAGACGTGGCTGTCAATCAAATGGGAGTTCCTCATGTCGCCCACCCGCACCTGTAGCATCAGCTGGTTCTCCTCCTTACACAGGCACGCGTTACGGCTGGAGGGGGGATTAAGGGGTCATCCATAAATGACGTCACGCTTTTTTTACTAATTTAACTCCCCCCTCCCCTCCGTCACACGTCGTCACAAAAGCTCAGACCCCCCCCCCCCCTAAAATGACGTCACACATCAACCTACAAACCCCCCTCAAAATTGCAGTTGAACTTTTTAAAAACTTCGATATTTTTCCAAAATCTTGTCTAAACTATTACAATTTATTAAAACAGTTATCTAAAACGCAAAATAACGTCTAAAATTCGTTTTTTTAACATTGCTTTTTTATATGCAAAAATGTGACCCCCCCCCCCCCTCCCCCTCATCACACATCGTCACAAAATTACGGACCCCCCTCCCCCCTACGAGTGTGACGTCATTTATGGATGACCCCTAAGGGTAGGATTAACTTATGGTTTGAGAGAGGATTAAGGTTAGGATTATCTTATGGTTTGAGAGAGGATTAAGGTTAGGATTAATTTAAGATATGGTTGGAGTGAGGATTAAGGTTAGGATTAACTTATGGTTTGAGAGAGGATTAAGGGTAGGATTAACTTATGGTTTGAGAGAGAATTAAGGTTAGGATTAACTTATGGTTTGAGAGAGGATTAAGGTGAGGATTAATTTAAGATATGGTTAGAGTGAGGATTAAGGTTAGGATTAACTTATGGTTTGAGAGAGGATTAAGGTTAGGATTAACTTATGGTTTGAGAGAGGATTAAGGTTAGGATTAATTTAAGTTAGGCTGGAGTGTGAATTAAAATTAGGATTGATTAGAGCAAGAGTACGTTATCAATGTAGAAAAAAGCTAATTTTAATAACCTCACTCGTTAAGATTAACTACAAAAGGCAATGGACGTTCCGAAACCGTCATCATTAGCACACCATAGTATATTTTTAAAGAGAAAACATAAAAAGGAGGCAAAAAAAGACATGTTCTCTACTTTATCTTAAGTGGCTTTTAGTCTTAAGGTGTTTGTGAAATAATTGAGAATTGGAGAGGGGGGGGGGGGGGTATTGCAATTTTTATATGAGGGGAATTTCGAACCAATAGATTGTACCTTAAATAGACACGAATACACGAAACGCTACTTTTAAACAAAAATTCACACCCCTCAGAATCCTGATAGTATTTGTCTCCGTGCTATAGGCCTACGTATTTTGTATAAAGGTAAGGGCGTTACTCAACTCTGATGGGTACCTAACTCACGCTAGGGAAAGTAAAGACGGCTGGGCGTAGTGTTGACCACACTATCTCTTTATATACCGAGGTCACAGAAACAAGTGAACTCTACTTCATTTGCCCTATAGACCGTAGGGTTTGAAAAAGGAACTTTACTTTTTTTAAGGGCGTCACTCGGTCGGGTGTCGTAAGGTACAGTGCGCACCCTCCAGTGAAAAAGTCTTACAAGTTTGCCAATACATACAACGGATAAACTCGTTTTTTTTTAGTATTAACTAGTTTAATATTTTATTTAAAAGGGACGATTTGTGTAACATTTGAAATAAAATATTTTTATGCTTTGTTTTGAACACAATCAGAACATTCTACAAGACAGACAGAGGCTAACCTAAAAATGAGCGTGTGTCGTCTATGTTTTGGTCGGGCTATTTTCACAAAAATAAACCCAAGTAGACATGTCTCGAGTAGAAAGCCAATGGTAATCTAGGAAAAAAAAATTTACAATGAAATAATAATAAACTTGATTGTAAGGTGTTGCTTACGAATGTTTATATGTATAACTAATTAACATATACATAGATTTATTATCTCGATTTGTCATCAAATCATAAAAAATGCTCATATTGTGACGTCACTCAAACCCTATGTCGTCATCACATCATAACAAAAGCACATGTTGTGACGTCATTCAAACCCGCAGTCGTCATCACATCATAAAAAAGCACTTATTGTGACGTCACTCTAACCCGCGGTAGTCATCAAATCATAACAAGAGCACATGTTGTGACGTCATTCAAACCCGATTTCGTCACCACATCATAACGAAAACACTTTTTGTGACGTCACTCAAACCCCATAGTCGTCATCACTTTATAACAAAAGCACATGTTGTGACGTCATTCAAACCCGATGTCGTCATCACTTCATAACAAAAACACATGTTGTGACGTTGCTCTAACCTGCAGGTAGACCACAGGTACAGTCCCGGCGCACTCGGCATTCGGGTAGATGGTGCCGTAGCCAATGGTGGACTGGGTCTCCATGGAGAAGAGCAGGGCGTCCCAAAAGGAGTCCAGATGGACAATACAGGGTTTAAACTTGGGGTCACCGACGTGGTCAAGGTCACCATGGCTGGGGGTAATATTAATTAATTAATTGATGAGTCATTTATTTTAATGCATAGGTAATATAGTACACACATGCACACAGACACATATACTCACACAACACACAGAGGCGTAGCGAGGGGGTGGCGGGGGGTGACACCATTTAGGGGGTGACACCAAGGCAAAAAAATAGCAAAATATATAGAGAAAAATGATAATTCCACTTAATTAAGTGATTCATTCGAGTGTTAAATAGCCTTCTAAGAGGTGCAAATCGAAAATTGAAAGTTTGTCCCCGGGAAGGGTCGCTACGCCTCTGGGGGGGAAGGGTGACACCATTAAGTGCCGCACCGGGTAACACCCGACCTCGCTACCCCACTGTAGATGAGTCATGTATATAAATTCATAGGTAATTTATTACACACACGCACACAGACACACATACTCACACAACACACACACACACACACACACACACATATATATATATATATATATATATATATATATATATATATATATATATATATATATATTCATTCATATTAAGCCATCATTCATTGACTCGCTAAATATGTACAAATATTATTGTAACTGTTTAACAATCATTTCTCACACAACCCTTTAAAAAACCAATATGGTATAGTACAGCACCCTACCCTACCGTCCCTCTCCTGCACTTCTCCCCCGCCTGTCAATTATCCATTTCGTTAATGACAATTAACTACCTTGAAATCGATAGCAGGCCAACACAATCAAAGTCATTTTTTTTTCTCTAGCCGTTTACGTTAAGTATACTATCCCACCAAGGTGCTTGTAGTATATATTTGAACATCTCATTACACTTGGTGGAAATTTTAAAAAGAAAAAACTAACACCGCAGATCACCCCGAAACAAAAGAAGCTATTACACGAAAACATGTAGGGAAGTGTAGTTAACGGAAATTAAAAAAAAAAAAACAAAAAAAAAAAAAAAACACCTTACTTACGTGTATGATAATAGGAAATAAATAATGCCAAACGTAAGATAAGACAAGAAAAATCCAGAAAATAAAATAAGAAACGCCCATCTCCATTTTAGGTCAAGGAGGGTCACGTAGAGATCTTTGAGGTATTTTACTCGTTTTTTCTGAATTCCTTTATATGCGATGTTACTGAAAGAAACCCATGTTATAAAATTTTAAACGAATGCATTCACTAGCTGGAAATATGAAATGGAAGAAATATAAATATCCTAAATCTTATTACTTAAATTTACTTTAAAAAAATACAACTGATCTAATGATAAGGGGGCAAATGCATGTTGAACTTCCAAAACGGATTTTAAAATGTATTTTTATCGACTGATAATATTTGAATATATGGTAATTATAAAAAAATAAATAGATAGCATTTTAATTAATCCGAATATTTGAACTTTGAAATATTGTGTAAAGCTAAAACTCTGTCTAAAGTAGACAAGGCTTGTTTTGCTTTTTGAATTTTAAATTCCGGCCTTGCAGCCTTTTCTTGGTTGGAGAAAGTCTATGGTTTTGAGAGAAAATTCATAAAAATGTTGGCTGAAGTTGGATTCGACAAACAATATAGCGCATAACATGGTGAGACGTAATACTAAATTGTGTTGTGTTTCAATATTGAAGTTAAGAACGACGAAGAACAACACAATAATCAAACATCACCAAAAAAAAAAAAGAATAAATAATACAGTTGTAGTAAAAAAAAATCGCATAGTTAATCTAACACAGATCTTGTTCCCAAACGGGGTAATTTTAAAATTTGACTTCGTACATTATGTCCAAATAATAGGTCCAATTAGTGAAGAATCGACACTGATTTAAAACAATACTTCCATTCGTATATTTAACATCAATGATGACATTTTTATGGGAAGTCTTATTTTTATAATTTTTAAGTAATCAAAAAGAAATTAAGCTAATTAAAAAAAAAAAAGACCTTTGACCCTCCTTTCTAATCAGCGTTCTTCTGGGTTTCATTTTTCTGTTGTAGAAATCTATAATCCCGCTTGTTGGGTGTGAGAGTTCACTCCCTTGTTTTCCCGATACGTTTTTTAATTCAACACTAGCTGGCAAGCCCGGATAGTTGGTCTGTAGGTCTTTGCCTGGATTTCTGTAATAGAAAATCTGTTAAAAGTAATCTACGAATACATGGTATGGGTGGGCTATGAAACATATAACATAACATTTCAAAATAAATAAATTAAAAAAAAGTGTATTCAGTCCTTCACATTGGAAATTGAAGTATTGTGGTCTAGTAGTACGTTGTTTTATTTTAACAGTTGTACATTTAGAGGTTTATGTGGTCTTTATTTTATTCTACCCAAGTACCTATAAGTGCTGAGAGGACGATTAAGGGAATCGAACAGAGACATTTTGGCTAGTAATGCTGTGTGCTCTAACACTCGACCACCCCGAAGAAATTCTTGGAATTAAAAGTTACGTGTGATTTCTATATAAACTGATGTTAGAATGGCCATTTGAGTTTTAGATTATTGGTGTGATGTGGGTAAACTAGGAGCGGATCGTTGCCCCGGGAGAGGCGTTGTTATTAGGGGAGAGTAAGGTAGTTATCTAAAGGTAAGGGTTAGGTAGTTATCTAAAGGTAGGGGTTAGGTAGTTATCTAACGATTGTGGTTAGGCAGTTATTTAACGATTGTGGTTAGGTAGTTATTTAACGATTGTGGTTAGGTAGTTATCTAAAGGTAGGGGTTAGGTAGTTGTCCAAGAACCCAAGTAAGGTACAGCAATAGTCCAACGGAAGATTTACAACAGCGGCCAAGCTTGAAGGTAAATGGGTGAGGTGTAGTTATAGTTTCAGAGGTGGCGTCAAGTTATCGAGTGCAGGGAGGGGGGGGGATATGGTATGGGCCTAAGTGTTTCTTCCAGACTTTTTTCTCCGGGGGGGGGGCATTTGATATTTTCGGGGGGGGGGGGGGTCAACTTTTTCCGGGGGGGGGGGGGGGGGGAAACTGGTAAAAGTATATATTTTCTATATTAACTCCATTTAATTCGGGGGGCGGGGCGGTAGACTTTCTTTGGGGGGCTCCGACCCCCCCCCCCCGAAGAGATGCCTGAAAGAAACTCTGATGGTCCTGGGTCGAGATTCGGGTGTGGGGGGCGGTACCAGACCTGCACTGCCGTTTACCTGAAGGCGTCGAATTTAAACTCTTCCCATCTGCTGTGGTCCTCGAAAATGTTGATCACGTGGTGTGTCCCCTGGGCCATACAATCTGGAGAGGTCAATTGTAATTAGCTGATTGAATTTCAAAATAATTTTTTAATTAGACGTTGGCGCTGCTTGTTTAACTTAACCCATTATTCGCATTGTTCAGCGAATTTTGAAGTCGAAACTAAATCGTAACTATAATCTAAACCCAGTTTTATTTAGTAAGTTTAAATTAAAAAGTTAAACTACTCATTAAGACTTAGTAGTCGATAAGGCAGTAAAGTAAACTACACCTGTTTATGGAAGTTTAGTGATTATCTAGTCGGTTATGTTACCAGCTTTATGAAGCAAACAGCATTAATTTAAATATTTCCCAAAGAGCTGATTCCAGCCTACTGTTGAGCGGCGAACTAATTCTTTATTGCGACTTGGAATTTTTTTTTTAATTTGGCGAATTTTTGTTGGCAGTAATTAGTTAACCTTTACCAGCACCTTCGATAGAGTGCAATTAGAAATCCAAAGTCCAACGCTATAAACGTAACTTGGTTGATTTATTTATGCAGCTGAGGTGACATGATAAGTTAAACTACAAAGTCAAAACAAATCTAATTTGAAAAAATTAAAACTACAAAGTTAAAATAAAATTCATTTCAAAAAAATTAAATTTTCGAAGTTAAAACAAATCTAAACTAAAAAAAAATTAAAACTAATTAAAGATAAAACACATCTAATTTGTAAAAAATTAAAACTACAAAGTTAAAACCAATCTAATTTGAAACAAAATAAATAAAAATACATAGTAAAAACAAAACTAATTTGAAAAAAAATGTTCGCTTTGTGGAGATATAAGTTTTGGAAAAAAAGTGTTGATATATTGAAGCAACAATTATAAAGAGCCGTTTTATTTGTTTCGTTTCTCATTGGAAACTGTTCTAAATTGATAATATTGAATTTCAAGAATCCTGTATATACCTTTTTTTTTAAAATAAAAAAAATAATTAAATGACTTACTTAACTTTTTACAGAAAAGAGTGCTCCCTAATCACATGGTGTTCTGTATGTAAAAAGCGCCATCTTGTTCAAAAGGACGGTAGCCCAGGTTCATTTCACCCTCGTTTGTAGCTAACAGGGAAACAAACGTACCACAATACATTTTCTAATTAGGGAATTTTTTTTCAACGGAAAATTGGGGGTGGGGGAAAAGATGGGGCATAGTTTTGTTGTAGGGACAAGGAGGATACACAAAGATGGATTGGATTTTTTTTTTAGTTTATGACCAATCGTCCCATTTGTGTATGGAATGACACCCCCCCCTTCCCACATTCTCCCCAATCATCGCACCATACAACATCAATTTAGGATTTCCACATTTGTCCAACTGCTCAAGGGAGACAACACATTAAGTAGTTTTAGGGATCGCCTGGCTAATGATTGATGGGATAGTGGAAGGCGTACGTCACTCAATTCTTGATCTGTGAGCTGGTTTTTAGCTTCAATAATCGGTGGTAGTTTAGTGTAAAGGCGTAGCGAAGAGAGGGAAGGTGGGACAGCCGCCCCCGGACGCTGACAATAGGGGGCGCTAAGCGCGGTAGGAAATAAAATTAAAAGCTGAACCTGAGTTACGTATCTGAATTATACACAGCCGAAGTTAAGAATTTTTTCCGTAAATTTATATTTTTCCAGACACACATTCCTTCTTCAAATGCAAACATTTGTATGAAAACGTCAATTTACACCTAAAACGATAACACTATTTGGTTAATAAGATGGTTATACATGATTTTTTTTAATAAAAAAAATAAAATCAGTAAATGGGAAATCAAGCTAAGTTCCGTACCCTACTCCCTTAAGAATATTGGACTGCTACTCCGCTATTTAAAGCTGTTTTCTACTTTAATTGTGAGACATAAGAAAATAAATATTGTTAAGGGACAAGTAACTTAAAAAGCGACCGCGACCTTTTCAAATGGGGAGGGGGCGCTTTTATATAAATGGTGGGGGGGGGGGGGAATTGATAGTTCGCCCAGGGCGCCGGAATGGATAGCTACGCCACTGGTTTAGTGTATCAACTGACAAGTTAAATGTATATTTTTTGTGGAGTTGCTGGTGTACATCTAACCTATGACTTATTCAATAAATACATATTCAAAAGGATAACTTTACTGTTCAATAGCTATAAAACTGTTTAATAAAATGTGCTATAATATTTCATAATGATCATTTTATAATAGATATTATTTAAAAAAATTATTCATAAAATATAAATACGAAGAAGAGTTAATTTTTTTTCAGAGAATGAGCGTATGGCGGGATAATGTGGTCAGCACTATGCCTAGCCGCTTTTTCTTTCCCCAACCCAAGCCAGGTATCCATAAGAGCTGGGTCCGCTCATTGGCGTCACACACAATCTAATTCGTCATTAGAATGTTCAGTTTCAAGGAATGCTAGATTGACGGACATGCATACAGTTGCAATGAGTCATGGTGGAGTAGACAGACAGATACACCGTTAAAAAGAATGCAAGGGATACAAAGAATAAGAAAGAGAGACCGACGGATATGCTTTTACAAAGAATTTTTTTAGAGAGAGGCATAGAGACAGACAGAGACAGGTATAAAGACAGGTATAGAGACAGGTATAGAGACAGATATATAGACAGATATAGAGACAGGTATAGAGACTGGTATAGAGACAGATATAGAGACAGGTATAGAGACAGATATAGAGACAGGTATAGAGACAGGTATAGAGACAGATATAGAGACAGGTATAGAGACAGATATAGAGACAGGTATAGAGACAGATATAGAGACAGATATAGAGACATATATAGACTATAGAGACAGATATAGAGACAGATATAGAGACAGATATAGAGACAGGTATAGAGACAGGTATAGAGACATATATAGACTATAGAGACAGGTATAGAGACATATATAGACTATAGAGACAGATATAGAGACAGTTATATAGACAGATATAGAGACAGGTATAGATACAGGTATAGAGACAGGTATAGAGACATATATAGACTATAGAGACAGGTATAGAGACAGGTATAGAGACAGATATAGAGACAGATATAGAGACAGGTATAGAGACAGATATAGAGACAGATATAGAGACATATATAGACTATAGAGACAGATATAGAGACAGATATAGAGACAGATATAGAGACAGGTATAGAGACAGGTATAGAGACATATATAGACTATAGAGACAGATATAGAGACAGATATAGAGACAGGTATAGAGACATATATAGACTATAGAGACAGGTATAGAGACATATATAGAGACATATATAGACTATAGAGACAGGTATAGAGACAGATATAGAGACAGATATAGAGACAGATATAGAGACAGGTATTGAGACAGGTATAGAGACATATATAGACTATAGAGACAGGTATAGAGACAGATATAGAGACAGATATAGAGACAGATATAGAGACAGATATAGAGACAGATATAGAGACAGATATAGAGACAGATATAGAGACAGATATAGACTATAGAGACAGGTATAGAGACTGGTATAGAGACAGAAATAGAGACAGATATAGAGACAGATATAGAGACAGATATAGACTATAGAGACAGGTATAGAGACAGGTATAGAGACAGGTATAGAGACAGGTATAGAGACAGGTATAGAGACAGATATAATTACAAAGAATGGCTCAGAGATAGACCGACAAATTTGCTTTTACAGAGAATTCATTAGAGACAAGCAGATAGACTTGGTTACAAAGAACGTTTGTGAGATAGCGCCATTGTTAGAAAGGAAACAGGCAATTGTTCGTGTAAATAGGTACAAGGTAACCCGGACAGGTGAGACAGCATTCGATCAATGGACCAGTGACAGCCATTGAAGGGCTGTCATTCAGTCAACTGGGGGTTGGGGTGGGGGGGGGGGGCAGAAATAGCAAGTCAGGTGTTGGGCTAGGTATCAAGGTAAATGGGATGGAGACAGTGAGGCGGAAAAAGTTTTGGGGGTGGGGGTGGGGGGATGGGAGATGTGTGGGGTGGGGGACTAGCCAGTTATAACACATACACGTACACACTGACACAATATATATATATATATATATATATATATATATATATATATATATATATATATATATATATATATATATATATATATATATATATATATATATATATATATATATATATATATATATATATATACTGTATGTATGCATGTATGTATATATATTTATTGTATGTATGCATGTATGTATGTTTATATATATATATATATATATATATATATATATATATATATATATATATATATATATATATATATATATATATATATATATATATTAACATACATACATGTATGCATACATATGTATGCATGTATGTATGTTAATATATATATATATATATATATATATATATATATATATATATATATATATATATATATATATATATATATATATATATATATATATATATATATATATATATATATATATATATATATATATATATATATATATATATTAACATACATACATGCATACATACATACGTATGTAATCATTGATATCAACTAACTATATTTCACAAGAGTGACTGAATTATTGTAATTTCTTCATAAATACTGGATATAATTAGACGCACAATCCAACTACACATTATTTTCACTAGGGCTGTGTCAATAACATATATAAGCTGAATAATACCAGTATATTTCTCTATAGCCATTAGGGGAGATAACTATAGATCTGGTAAATGTAAAGAAAACGTCGAAAGGAAAGTTCTCGAGTGCTGATGGTCACACAGAGATGATTGATGGCTCGACTGTTGAGTCGGGAAGTTTTCTTACACAGCGTCCAGCGGTGTTCAGGTAAGACACGGTTTTTTTCGGCTGGTTCGGTAAATAGATGTACCTAGATGTACTTACATCTCTAGTTGCTTTGTTATTTACAACGGAATCTTAATTTACGCGATACATAAGGATCTACATAAAATAACAGATTATAATTTAGAATAAAAGTATATTGGGATTTTAAACCCCAAATGTTAGTTATATTTAAAATGTCCATGAAAGAAAATGAAACATTTTAACAAAACTGTATTTATAAGACGTGCTCGCTGAAACACTGAAACAGTTCCACATATATATATATATATATATATATATATATATATATATATATATATATATATTTATATATATATACTATTTAAAAAATGAGCTAACTTACTTTAAGCTTTGTATCATCGATTATGTGGTTGGGATTTGAGTTTATACTTATAGAGATAACCGTTAATAATGATACTGCTTTAGACAGTTTCCATTGAATTATCTTACAAATAATGAACTTTAATTATCAATTTATTTATCTAAATGCAAGGTAAATTAGACACGTGCATGATAACATAGATTACTCATTTAAAACTCTTCTAATTTATAAACACAGCCAAACGCGCATTTTAAAAATAGCTATTTGGGATTCAAATATTATCCATGTAATTAAACACATTTCAATGCTGTTGTATCATTCATATATCATTCATGTATATATATATATATATATATATATATATATATATATATATATATATATATATATATATATATATATATATATATATTTATATTTATATATATATATATATATATATATATATATATATATATATATATATATATATATATATATATATATATATATATATATATATATATACACATACATATATGTATCCTTTTTTCAGCGTTGAATTTTTTTTACAGTCTTCTTTTAAAAGTTTCATTTAGATTGTTTTCACATGAATTTAAACTAAATAAAACATGAATTTAAAAAATAGATTATTAAATTAATATTTTTAAAAATTTTCCCAGCGAAATGACCGGAAATTCCCGAGAAGCGGAAGTCGGAGGGACCCTGTTTTTATTCGCTGACCCGGAAGAGGAAGGGCCCAAATCGAAACGATGGTGGGAGACGCTGAAAAACAATTGTTGTGCACTACGTCACAGGTGCCACAAGGCTAACCCCGAAGAGAAAAGGAAAGCGTTGGTTCAAAAGAATGGAGCGTTTAGGTAAGGGCACGTGCGATCCTACCGTTGCTATTGGCAACGGGGTTTAATATTTTTTTTTAAATTTTATTCTTACTCAGAAACACCGGTATCACATTATACAACATCAAAAATTTTAATTAGTTCGTATAAATGCATTTTTAATTACTCACAATTACACTAATTAGCGTCTATTTAAGTGACTCAAAAAAAAAAAAAAACAACAGTCGTAAGCTAAAAAAAGAAAAAGAAAGTACCCTTTAAAAAATTTACGGCCGTTGGGGTTGGCGAAGTAGAGTTCACCTGTTTCAATAACCTCGACATATGAAGACATACTGAGGTCAGCACTATGCCCAGTCGCCTTTATCTTCCCTAACGTGAGTCAGGTACTCCTAATGGCTAGGTGGACCCGGGGCGTTTTACAGACTCAAGCCAGGGATCCGAACTAGGCTTTCGTGTTAGCAGTTAAAAGTTCTACCATTCGACCACGCTAAAACGTTCAGAATAAACTATTTGTGTTTCACTACAATCATGGTTTCATTTTAATCTTATTCCCCTTTTTTCCCCAAGAATCTTCTGTGGAAAGTTTCTGTTTCATTACAACCTTATTCCATGTTTTGTTTTTCCCAGAATCTTTATTTTTATATTAAAACTATTTTATTCCATATTTTGTATTTTCCCAGAATCTCTTTTGGAATCTTTTTGTTCCATTATAATTATCTTACTCCATGTTTTGTATTTCCCCAGAATTTATTTCGCGGGTTTGAACCAGCACCGCCGGAAGTACCTGGCAGACCTATACGTCACGCTGCTGGACCTCGAGTGGCGCTACGCCATGGCCATCCTCTTCAACACGTTCCTCGTTACCTTTCTCGTCTTCGCCGTCTTTTGGTGGCTCATGGCGTACAACAACGGCGACTTTGACAATTTAGGCAACCCCAAACACGACTTTTGCTTGCTGGGCGTCAGGTCATTTCCGGGCGCGATACTTTTTTCTATGGAAACCCAAACGACCATTGGTTACGGGATGGCGTACCCCAATGCTCAATGCGCTGGGACCTTGCCGATTATGTATTTACAGGTAATTATTTCTTCTGTTGTCACGTGATATACATAAACG